CGATCTTCTTCAGATTCTTAGCTCAACTGTGAAGTAAAACATAAAAAATAGTACATACATACAAATACATAAAGTTATATTTAAACGCAACAGCAGAAGAACAGAAGTCTGAATAGTTGAATGGAAAGACCCCTTGGCTGTGCTTGCTTGATTTTCACAGCAGGGGGGATTAGTTAGAAAGACCAAATATCTTATTTTTTAAACATTCATTTTCTCCTCTACCCCAGCTACCACCACTTCCCAGCATTGTGGAAACCTGAATAATGATTTTCGTTTACTCTTGCTTTTTCTTCCTGTCTAATAGCCCAATAGAATCCTGCCAGAATTTCTACAAAGATTTCACATTACAGATTGACATGGCTTTCAACGTGTTCTTTCTTCTCTACTTTGGCCTGCGGGTAAGTTTGAACAGCAGTGTGTGGTAATGTGATGGGGGAATGGAACTCTGGTACCCAAGGATAACCCTCCCTCAGTCTCCGCTCTTATAGACCAGATGGAGCCATGTTTTCCAGCAAAGGAAATGTGCCTGCATTTTGATTTTCAGTCTGTGAGAGAGCCTTTTCCTTAGCTAAATATTTCCTGGAACATATGTTAATTTTGTTCCAAAATAAGAAATAGACCTAAAAATATCTATAATGCCCTCTGAAGGACTGTTTCTCAGCCCTCTTTTTAATTATAAATGTATTCTTCCTTTAAAAATTGCACAAAGGCAAAACAAACAAACTAAAGACCAAAACCATTTATGTTCTTAAGATTATGAGTAGCGATGTAGTGCTTACTTCGCTAAGAACTGAGGACGCAGTTCTGAGGATGAAATCAGGGAGTAAATTGGTAGAATTTGGGGTTTGAAAATTATCTGAGGCACCTTTTAAGAAGGGAGTTATACAAATATAGATTTGTGTGTCTGAGTGAATAATACACTCATGATTCATAATTATATTTTACACTAGAGAGTCTAAGGAATATAAGATCACTCAAACATCCTTATGATGTTTCTGGAAACAACAGAACAATATACTTCAAGGTTAATCTCTCTGGCTAACAGAGCATATGGAATTCCAAGATTAAAACAGCATGTGATCAGTATTAAACAAACAAACAAAAACTCGCTGCCATTGAGCCAATGCTGTTTCCTAGTGACCCTCCTGTCAGTTTCCAAGACTGTAACACTACTGC